TCCCTTTCTGCAGTGGAAAAATTATCTAGATTTCCTTAGCATTTTTGTGGAGAGCGGTTTTTGAAGACTAATGTGTTTGTGCTGTGGAAAACAATATCAATGTTCACTTTTATGATATAATGGTGCGTTCGTTTGAAAGTATTCACTGAAAGCACCGGGCCGAAGGGGAAAAAATGTCGCAGTACAAATTGCAAAGCTTTAAGCAACATTCCATTCCATGAAGTCGTAAAGGTAAAGCGGTCATCACATTGTGGAAAAGGGGGGAAGGTCATGTAGTATCGCAGCATTTCATACAAATAACCAAGAAAGAAACAATCATTCCGGCTACACACAACCATATACCTTTTCAAGAAACAGCATACATACATTACAAAGCATTGGATATAGGCCGAAGAAGGGATACATCTTCAAAATAATTTCGAACACTCGTAGCTGTTCAGTGCAAAACACGGAAATCTTACGCAACGATACAGTGTATTTTGAATACCATGCAACTCGCATTTTAATAATCACAATAATAGCAATAATAATAACAACCAGAACGAGCATATAAAGCGCATTATATGAAATATTCCGGCGAGCAAGCTTAAAAAATTCATCAATGCTGTTATTTTGCAATTTCCGTTATTCTGGCATTATATTGCAGATCTGTTATTTTGCAACTTTCCTGCATAAAATGCTTGGCGGTGCTCATATAAAACATGAAGTGATGCATGCTTCATATAAGCAATGTCTTGAAAAACGTGCTCAAGCTATGTCATGATATCTGATACAGGATTTTGTAACAAAAAATAGTTTGACCATGAAAGCGTATTATGCCAGTTGGCAGTACCATCCCTCGCAACCTGCTGAATGGTTGCGAAAAGATATGTTTATTAGAAATTTTGACTGCCATATATTCGTTCCAAATATAGCCTTGCAGTTTGCCATCAGCGACTTTTTTGTCAACTTTTTTTTTCAGCTGTGCACAGAACCGCATACATGCAGCCCATTGCTCTGACCACGCTTTTCACGGAAACATTGGCGACCTCGGTGGAGCCACATGGCTCCACGGGGTACCTGACTAGCAATGTCACAGCGTTTGCAAAGGGAAACCGATAAAAAACCAAGAAACCAAAGAAATAACGCCGCGGGTGAAAGGCAAGGAAAAATGGAATGCGGGCTCGGGGGAGAGCACTATTTTTTTTTTTTTTCAAACCGAGATTCAGGCCACCGACGCTGAACGCGGATGGCACAGAATGAATCGCAATGAAGTGGGGGAGAGGAGAGCAATGACACAGCGTTGGGGACGGTGACCAGCCCCGTCCCCCCTTGCACCCCTCGGGCATGGCACAGCGCCTTTGAGTGAGTGTAGAGAGGGCATAAAAGAGAAAAGGTGGAAGAAAAGAGAGATAAAAGGTTATGGCGGGAGGTCCATCCGTAGATCTGCTTGCAGCTTCCTTCACGTGGAAGCGAAAAATTTGCCTAGATGTTGACAAATTTCTCTTTTCCCCTAAATACAACCAAAATCCCCTAGAACTCAGAAAATTTATATAGAGTCGGCAGCACTGCTCGGCAACCGTCACGGGCCAGATAGTGCTCAAAGTTCGTCCTTGTGTTACTAGTTTTCTTAAATGAGCTTCGAATTTCGGGCGTAATTTCATTGGACACTAAGTCGCCGGTACTTGTCTGCGGATTGTTTCATCGGAAACAACTATCTCTTAATTTATGTTTAACATAGCCTTCAGACTAACAAATCAAACCCACTTGATGTCTAAGTGGGCACCATCACGAGATAGCCGATTCTGAGATCTTCGCAGGGGGAAAGCTGGCTTCACTTCTGCTGGCAAAGCATTGCGGTAGCTTCCACTCCTGCATTTCTTTTAAACCTCCTTGGCTGGTACTAAGCCTATAGACCTAATCGCTATTTACAAACACAGCTGCTCGATGGCTCCCGCTTTTGTGTTCCGGCGTAGCCTAGCAGTATTGGAGGCAAAACGGAAGCATTAACGAGTAGCCAGTTCATATTAACAGTTTTCTGCCGGTGTCAGGGCAAATATTTCAAATACACTTTCTTTTGGCTAGATACAATGTTATAAGAGTTAGTCCTTAACAATGAGCGCCTACCTTTTACGTTGAATCGGAAAAACAGTCTTTCCTTACTTCAAACGCAAGATTTCTGTTTCGGTGTTAGAGAGCAATAAATGAAGTGACCGTTTTCGGATGTACAACAAACTTTACAAGAAGGATTGAATTATGTAGACCGTTTTCTAAAAAAAGAGGTATGGCACTGAGTCTGGCTAAAACAGCCATACTTCCGTTACCATTGAAAAGACCCGGAAATTTCCAGATTCTGCAAAATCAGCCTATTCAAATTGTTAAAACTCATAAATTCTTTGAGAGTAATTTTAGACCGGAGGCTAACACTGGTCGCCTCATGTCCAGTCCCTTGAACAAAAAGTGAATCACGCCCTTCCAATCCTCCGGCATCTCTGCGGGGCCAAATGGGATGGTACTACAAAGTCGTTATTAGCCCTGCATGTTGCCTGGATAGGCCCCATCGTAACTTACTCACTGCCTCTGCTGCACGGACTTCCAGCCTCCACCGAAAGGAGACTTCACTTGTAATTGGCAAGAGCTTGAGGGTATGTCTGGGTTTACCAAGGTCAACTTCCAGTGCTTTAGTGTATGCGGAGGCTCGAGAGCCACCTTTGGCAGTACTCCGAGGTAAAGAAACATCTCGAAATTTATTTAGAATTTTCACGCAACATGAAAGTCATTTTTTATCTGGCTGCACTAACACAAAGAACGGCAACGAGACTACAGGATACTGTATCATCATTTCAAGCAGTAGTACCAGAATTTAAACAATGGAAACCTTCAAAACCACCTTGGACGCTGCCACTTCTCAACGTTATCCGTGAAATAGACGGCATAGAGAAGAAAGCAGACGTGGAACCTCTAGTGGCGGCACAGTTGGTACTTCATCAGCTTCATGTAATGCATAATGAAAAAACGAAGATATATACAGACGGATCATGCACAGAAGAAGCGTCAGCCTGTGCGGCCTTTATACCCGAAATTCAGAAAAAGAAGATGTACAAACTATCGCACAAATCTTCATCGACGACAGCAGAATTGGTGGCTATCTTTGAAGCAGTTAAGCGTATCTGCGAGAATCCTGAGCCACGAAAATGGGTGATATGCACTGATAGCAAACCTGCTCTTCAGCTAATCAGAAATGTGAGATCACCTTACAAGAATGGTGAAATAGCACAGTGTATTGCAGAAACTGTGGAATATGCCTAATCGCAGGGTCACAACATCGTATTCCAATGGATACCCAGCCACATTGGATTAAAGGGAAATGAAGAGGCTGAAAGCCTCGCGAAGAAAGCATTGAAGGAAGGACGAAATTGCGCAATCCCTATGTCTGGGGCGGATATTCGACATTTTATATCGCAAGGAGCTAACCATTGTTCGATGGAGAAGTGGTTTGAGAGCCCTAAATCAAAGTAAACGCTACTTTATGAAGTTGATTCACACAGAAAATTTTCCATAGCTACAGACCTCCCACGACACCTAGAGACAGTAATCCACCGTCTTCGATTGGTAGTAGCATACACAAACAGCTTCCTACACAAGATACATCGATCCAACTTACCGGAATGCCATTGTGGTCATGCAGAAGAAAATGTTCGCCATATAACTTTTGGAGTGCGTTAAATACGCGAATGAAAGAGAAAAATAACAAACTAGCAAGTTTGGACAGACGGCCCCTCACAATAAAGAAACTACTTGGACCATGGCCTGAGATGCATCTCCAGAAAAAGGCAATAATCTTCCTGACAGACTTTTTAGTGGAGACCGGACTGGACAAGCGCCTATGACAGACTGCCAGAGATGGGTATATATAAAATGTGGTCATGTATATACTGAGAGTAGAATAGAAAGGTGTGCGTGTAAATAGTTTATGACTGTGTGAACTGCGCGAAAAAAACTGTGCATCGGCATGATATTTGAACTGGTTTCAGTGTGCTATTACGTTTTCTTTTCTCTTTTCCGTATTGTTAATTTTCGGGTACCGTTCTGTATTGCTATTTTATTTTTCGCTGCAGAACTTTGTGATATGCAGTAGCCGAGGCAATAGGCCCCTCAACCTCTCCACAGCAAAACAGTTAAAACAGAACAGAAGTAACCGGAAGTTTCCTAGGTAGCAACACGTGCTGCTGCTATTACAATGTTGAAACCAACGGAGAAGGTGACTACGTCATGCGTAGCCACTGGTAACAGTTTGTTATGTGTAGAGCGCATCTATATGTGGACTGCTGCAGGTACACTTTTGGCACCGTTTTTTTGGTATGGAAAGCGCCGCCCGTAGAAGATCCCGCCTGCTGTGGGGGCAAGAGGCGCGAGATGATCGTTGCCGCGATAGCGCGGCCACCATAGGTGCCCCCCCCCCCCCGCCACTTTGTCTCCTCACAAGATAAGCGACGACCTCGACCGGAAAGGCGATGCTCGCGACGCAGAAAGACGAGGCTAGCGCATCCTTCACCGTGTATATATATATATATATATATATATATATATATATATATATATATATATATATATATATATATATATATATATTGCTGCGTCATGCGAAGGTCGTAGGTTCAATGTCTGCTCACGGCAAGTTATTTTTTCACCCACTTTTATTTCCTCTTATTTACATATACATGAATGAATGACGGCGGTGGCAGCGAAGGCAAAACTGAGTCTAGACTGTCCGTATAATTGCAATTTCGATAAAGATTATAGAGGAAAGAACACCGAGAATATTGTTTTCTCGGGAAGCATGCATAGTCGAAAATGGTTGTCTTAAAACTCTATAATTGTAGATCACGACGCTTTAGAAATCTGAGGCTGTGGTTAAACTTGCAAACAGTGTACTTCTCCTTTCGCGAATCACTTCTCAGTAAACCATCACATCGAATGCCGATCTGCGGCGCGAGAGTCCAAACAGCGAGTTCACTTACCGACTCTGGAGGGCCGACAGCTGGTTCCAGTAGATCAGACCGATAATCAACGACTCCGGAACAAGTGGCTCTCTGCAAGCAAGCCTAGCTGTCCGAGCGCATTCGATGACCCCTCTTCTTTCGAGGCATCATCCCCGACAGTGTTTGGCTCTGAAATGATGAGAACGATTCACCTTACAAGAGTGAAACCTGAAGAAGTACAGGTAAATGGCAAATAATGGACATGCATCAAACATGGAGAGCGCGAGAATACCTGCAAGGGCGAGCGTATGGCGATAAATTATAACGACCCTTTCCAAAATTTGCACGCACGCTTTCTTGGGCTTCATATTCGCCCAACTCCGGCGGAAACGCATTTGAAGTTGAACGTGCTGGGTCATTCTTTTTTTTTATGCGCGTTTATACCAAGAGCACGGAGTTTACTTCTCGCGCATCACAGCGCAAACAAAACTGCGCTTAAACTCACTGTTTGCGGAAGTGACCACCCGACATTAGTCGGGATAAGTGCATTGCAGGAAGGCTTGTTTTACAATTCCGAAAAGGGATCATGCGTCACTATATGCAAACAAAAAAGCTACTTCATAGCACGAAAGAAATAAAGAAACGCTATTATTGTTCAGCGATTCAACTTGATTAGTCCTTACTAGAAGTCTCAGATGGTCGATAGCAGGTACGGCGGGTCTCTTTAGCGTAGCTGGCTCCCCGCCATCGTCCGCATAGCCGATGCTCGCCAGTCAGGAGACGCGTTCTTGGAGACACAACAAAAGTTTATTTACATGGTGGAAAGATGCGACTGCATACAGCAGAGATTCAGCTCAGATACCGCTCGGATTTACAGAATGTCTTCAGCGTTTACAGCCAGTTGTTTAATGTGCACGTCAGTCCAAAGAAGGCGGTGACCACTGTTGCCACGAATCAGATGACGATAAGTCTCCGTGATCCACCCACCAGAAAAGGTGCAGATATTGGACCCCTCCGCTGACGAGGAACACGGGCGAAAACGCCCGATAGGTAGCACGAGCGCATTACACAATGAAGCACCCGGCTCATGCCTTGAAGACACTGCAGAGCGAGGAGGTAGAGTGCTGTGGAGAGGGAAAGTTGAGCTCGTTCGGGGAGATGGCCGCTTACACAAACGTCAGCAGCGGTCCACGGCTGCTTTCAGCTACAGAGTTCCAGAGCCCTCTCGAACACGGCAGTCCAAGTGCTTGATTCCGGAGAACGGCTGCAGCGACGCCCTCCCACTCTTCCGAACTTTCGGTGCTTTTGTGGCGACCTCACGTGGGCGACAATAGCCGAGTCGAAAGGTTGACTTCATGGGAACTGCAACAGTGTTGCCGTCTCACGCTGTTCAACCCGGCTCAACAAAAGCGCTGTTTCGCGAAGCTTCCGTCGAGTTCGTTGTGACCCGACCAGAGCGCACTGCCTGGAACACACACAATGGCGTCTGCCAAGACGAACTGCCGTGCCAAACGTAACACTATGGAGAAGGCCTGCTTCACTAATAGATGTGAAGCAGTGAATTAAAAAGAAAAAAAAGGGTATTCACGTCAGTGTTATTCAGCGCCGAACTTTCGCTAAGATAAATGAAGCCGTGATTAAGTTGGAATAATAGGCTTGAATGACGTTTTAGGGGCGAAGCTACTTATGGCGTGGCTTGTGCGTCCCTCGTAGTACGTAACCACCAATGGCACATACCCGAAATAGCGGTCCTTACGATTTTGACCTCCAAGGTGGTTCCGGTGAGAGATTTTTTCTGTGCGTTGTTGAACGATAAAAGATAGTGTTCAATGCACATGTTAATGGCTGCTAAGGGGGAATGAGAGACAGGAGGATTCGGCGTTTAGGTAACGCGCACGCTGCGATCCCCATTAGCAGCTATTGGCATGTACATTGAGCACGATCTGACAAGAAAGGGTTGCTACGTTATACTCGCTGGGTGTAACCTGCTTGGTTTTAGAAAGGTTTAGCGAGCGTTGGGACGCATAGCCATGAATACAGTGAACTAGTATATACCATGAACTCGAGGTGGTTAAAGGTGGGAAGTAAACCCAAAGCAAGCCGTAAGAAAGTGTGCATGTGCCACCTTTCGTTTAGTCCTTGAAATGTCCGCCGGATGGCGGTGCTTCTATATGGAGAATATATGATGAAAAGATGCGAGATGGTGGTACTTGGAGTGCTGAATAGATGGACGAACGGACACACAGACAGATGCATGGACGGACGCATGAACGGACGCAGGCGCGGATGCATGGACGAACGCAGGGACGGACGCACAAACAGACGCACGCACGGACGGGTGGATGGACGCATGGACGGTTACACAGACGTACGCAGGAACGGACGGAAGCAAGAACAAATTGATGGACGAATGCTTCGCCCCACTCCCCACCATTCACTCCGTGGATATGCTGCCATTTTTTTAGGGGCGAAGCTCCTTAGGGCGTGGGCTGTGCGTCCCCTGTAGCCTGTATGTAGCCACCTCTAGTTTAGTTCTTGCAGTGTTCACTAGATGGCGGTACCGTCCCCTGTATGTAGCCAGCTCTAGTTTAGTTCTTGCAGTGTTCACTAGATGGCGGTACCATCTCCTGTATGTAGCCACCTCTCGTTTAGTTCTTGTAGTGTTTACTAGATGGTGGTACTTGTAGCTGATGATGAAAAGATGCAAGATGTTATAAACTAGAAAGCGGTACTTGTAGTTGATGAAAGACGCGAGATCTTATAAAATAGGAATGATGTCACATATGGCGCGTGTCATTGGTTGAAGGCAATCGTTCGATTAGTGCGGCGACGTACGCTAGGGGGAGCGTTGTAATAAAATCCGTTCGCTGTTGGCGCGCGCTCGGAGTCGCCGGATGGATAAGGCTGCACAGCGGAGAGAGCGCAAGGCGGCAGCAGCGCGCGCTCGCAGACAGAATCCCGATGTGCGAGCGCGCGAGGCAAGGGACATCGCAAGCCATCCATCGTCTAAGAACAAATAAAAGTTGATTTGTGTATATACACACACAGCGTTTCTCACGTCTTTACATGATGATCGACTGGGCGAATTACACGGAAGATTCACAGTTTACCGATGAATCCCTTCGGAGCTTCGCCCATTCATCATCATTCACCCCGTGAATATGTCGTATTTTTTTTTTAATTTTGACGGTACAATGTTAATGAGAACTGAGAGACGATATGCCAAAGAAAGCATAGGGGATGTTATTAGAAGTAATTGCAATGTAATTGTGAAAAAAGAATAGGGGAGAAAAAGATAGCTTGCCGTGAGCAGGGACCGAACTTGTGACCTTCGAATAACGCGTTCGATGATAGCAACTGAGCTACCACAGCGGCTACGCTCTTCTCCCCCCCCCCCCCCCGTTCACTCTACGAGGCATGTATGGTCATTTAAAAGTGGGATTGTCAGACAGCGTTGCCTGTTGCCATTGCGGCGAGTGCGGGACACTCTCATCTTTTGCCTGTTGACGTCACGTAGCACGTGATCTTATTACGAGCTGGCAGCAACCAATTATTATTGGTCAGGTGACATCTCCTACGCTTTCTTGGCACAATTGTCTGCTAGTTCCCATTAATATAGTGTCTAACAAAGAAAAGAAGCCTTGATTGTACATGCCAGTATAGTACTGTGGTGCAGAAATCTTGTTCTAGCTTTCAGATCTTCCGTCTCGCACAAACCCAAAACACAGACGTTGCATATAAGACTGACTATTTCTCTCTCGAGAGTGAGCTTTACTTGCTCGCAACTTGGAAGCCACTAGGCCATTGGCAGCACAGCACGACTACATCTCATGCCATTCACAAGAGATATACACGCACTACCACTGCCTAAGTATTGCATACTGGGATCACAATGTGACATCTTCTTAAACAGGAGCGCTAGCGCAGTTTGTACGCCGACACCGAAGACGACGAAGCGTGGCATGTGCGACTTAACCAGCTGCGTTTCTAGTTGACACAAAAGTAACGTTCGCTTAGCGTGTACCTAGTCTAGCTTCAACCGCCCACAGTGAGGCCAGCCGCCTGCTTTACGACGCTCCGTCCTCTGCCGAGTTCGTTCCAGAAACGAATCTCTTTCCGATCGTGCAGCCAGGGGTCACGCCCTCCACGGCAGGTGGTGTTGCCGTTCACGGCTGCCTGCTATTTCGTGCTTCATTTCTGCCTCGTGCTATCATCCGGATGCAGCAAGAAGCCGCGCCCCCGCTAGCAAGATGGTGCTACAGGGGCCCACGAAATGCGCGCGTTATCTGTCCCGCCCCCAAAATTGTTGCGTCCTATCGGATCCCCCCGAGCGCTCGCCCACAAGTCTCAGATCGAAAGACTGTTGGAGCACCTATGGCTTCGCCACCTGCTCGGGCTTCGGAACCTTCTTGCTTTTCCCAGTCTTGGCTGACATCCTCCCATTCTAGACCTCCAGCATCATCACTGCTTCTTAGTGATGATGACTTTTTTTTTCTTCGAGGCTTACAGTCTAGTCGCCGTTGCAGCTGGCGAGCCGAAATAACCGCAAAGATTCTTCGAGGAGCGCACTGGTATCTTTAGTGCCGGCGGAATCCACCAAGTAATATTATAACAAACAGCCTTCGCGAAAAGGCGACCACAAACAGAAGGAAATAAAAGCGAGACCCTGAAACTTTGCGACTTGGCAAACTAAAACCCGCTTTGTTACACTTTTTCACATTTTTTATGATGCCACTGAAGAGTAGTATAAAAAGAACTGAAGCTGCCGGTTTTACGAGAGATATAGGATTTTATGCTTTTAATTCTGTGCCATCCACTCATGTGAAATCGTAAACGTGTCCATTTTAAGGCTGCTCTCGTAATTTTTACAGGCACGGGTTGTAAACCACCGACAGCTATACGAAGCTCGGTCGCCGTATTTACAATCTCTAGTTCATTCCTGCAATTACATCTACACATGCAAATCTGTAGTCATGTTGCCCGGTCCGCCTGAACGAAGGTCAGATAGAAGTAACCATGAGAGCCACAAAGTTTGTTATCATTTATATAGGCACACTAAGTATAGCATTTAACGCCAGAACGCCCCTGTGTATGACGGAACATTATCTCTAAAGATTAAAAACTCATTTTGCTTCATGCGACCATGTTTTCAGCTGTTCATGAAAAAAATTCCCCCAACGCGTGCATCA